GGGGGGGGGGTGTCTTGTCTTAATGACAATTTGAGGCAAAAATATTGGAAAATTAGGATATTATGACAAAATGGTCAATAAATTCTCAGTTACATTAAATATTCAAGGTGTCAAAATAAAATACATTTTATCAGTTCTGAAGGAAAAAATTATGATTAGATAAAAAAGGAAAAGAAAGAACACCAAGTAGTTGTCTCATTTTACAAGGTAGGCACAGATCTTAGAAAATGCCAAAAAATGGCCAGGCACAGTGGGGAGTGCCTGTAATCCCAGCACTTGGAAGGCTGAGGCAGGAGGATCACAAGTTCAAAGCCAGCCTCAGCAATTTAGTGAGGCTCTAAAGCAACTCAGTGATACCCTGTCTCTAAATAAATGGGCTGGGAATGTGGCTCTGTGGTTGATGCCCCTGGGTTCAATCTCTGATACCAAGGGGGCAGAGGAGGGAGGGAGGGAGGGAGGGAGGAAGGAAGGAAGGAAGAAAAGAACAAATTAATGGAGGGAGGGAAGGAGGGAGGATGCAGCTTCCTCATCACTCACAGATAAAGGTTCTATTAGTTAGATCTGCTTCCTATTCATCCTAATCAGGAAAGTAGGGGTCAGAAAAACATGAAAAGTCAGAATGCTCTAGCTTGTTATCCTAATATAATTTTTCTAGCTATTGTCCAAATACAATCAAATCAAATTTGTGTTCAGGTTTACTACATTCAAGTATTCAAGTATCCAGTCCAATACTCTTTTCTCATGTCTTTACTGACAATAAATATTAGTGACCAATATCAGATAATTTCCTAAATAAAAGGGGTGAGCAGATGCATAAAGGAGTTCATTAAGGTGAGGAGAAAGAAAAGTGTACCGAAAGGGAATACAGAAATACCAAAGACAGCTGTTGCATAGTTTTCTGCCTAAAGGAAACCTTTGACTATATCTAGACAAATATTAACATTAATTGCCAAAACTGCACATGCATCATCTACCTTAGTGGGAATACCACTCCTACCTTAGTGGGAATACTACTTTTCAGGGATATGATGCAATCTAACCCCTGGTTCACAAACACTACATTCAATTTGGACCTCATTATAAGGGAGATCCCATCCCAGAATATTCCCTAGTTACTGCATTATCATAATTACATAGCTTAACCAAAATTGTCCATAAGATATCTTGAAAACAAGAAAAAACAACTGCAATTGTAATCTAAATATAAGATTATAATAAACTGCCTTCTACCGAAACACAGCACAAGAGGTGCAGGGTAATATCCTAGTATCACATATTTTTTATATTCAATGTATTTATTGTGCCTTATTTTCATATTATACCATATACCACATAATTATTGAAAGCAACATCGCATTGGGGATGTAGTTCAGTCATAAAGTGATTGCCTAGCATGCATAAGGCCCCGGGTTCAACCCCCAGTCCCACCAAAATAATAATAATAATAATAATAAATTATTCATGAGACAGGTACAAGGGCTCTGTAATTTATCAAGACAATCAAATTCAACAGGAAAAAACAGAGGCTTCAAAAACAGCCTGAAAGACACATCAAAGAAAAATGAATGATCAAAAGTAAACATTTAATGCCCCAAGTATAAACACATTCATTTAACAAACATTAAATAAGTTCCTGTCTAATATTCTAATTTAAGCCCCTACAAAGTTATAAAAATACAAGACATGAAATCTGTTAATTCCTCAAAGTAATTTTAAATACTAAAATCTACATTCTATATCTAAGATGTTTGAATTTAAAAAATTTAAAATAAACTACTATCCAAAAAAGCTGATTAGCTAAATCATACCCTAATGATACATAAAAAGTTTTGCTATATTTTTAAGTTAAAAAGAATTACAAAGTGGGTATGGCACACACTGGTAACTTCAGCTACTTAGGAGGTTGAGGCATAAGGATCCAAACTACAAGGCCAACCTGGGCAACTTAGAGACACCCTGGCCAAATAAATAAATAAATAAGAATAGGGACACTGTTCTGAGGTAGAGAGCTTTCCTAACATGCATGAGGCCCTGAGTTCAATCTCAGTACCAGGGGGAAAAAATTACAAAACCACGTAATACAAAAGTGTACTACAATAGCATAGAAAGAGGAGACAGAAACCAAAATGTTTATAGTAATTTTATCTTGGTGGTAAGATTATAGATGACTTTTTTTTTCCTTTTTCCTTTTTGTATTTACACTTCTGATTTTTCAATATGAATGTGCTTTCCCTCTGTAATTAGAATTTATTTACCACAGGTGAAATTTCCCTCTTGACAAACTTCTTTTTAAAAGCTTATATTTTAATGTCAGGTAAGATAAATTTTCAGAATGTAATATGCTGTTACACAGAAGCACAATTTTTCATGTCTTTCCATGTCCTTGACAATTATATGATATTCTTTTTAGTACAATATAAGAAAGACAGTTTAATTAAAAGATCATTGTAAATGTCAATTTCTACTGAATATCAACTTCAAATTAAAATTATATCTTGAAAGAATTTTGTTTTCTGTAATATTGATATCTACACTCAAAAGAGGTAGACTTTTTATCATTTATTACCACCCCCCAAGATAAATACCTTTATTATTAGCTCTTAAAAAAACATTGAGGATAAACTATTCATCACTAAACACTGAAATCCAGGTGGAGGGAGTCAGTGGAAAACATCTGTATTTTACTAAATAAAATTAAAGAATGCACTTACAGTTTCAGAAGATGAAAACATGTTTTCCAACTGCTGGCAATTTAAACTTAATTTCATCTAGCCTAGAGGTTCTCAAGCACTGATATGTGGGAGTTGCTCAGGAAGTAAGCCAAATACAGAAAACCATAGCCCTAGTGCTCACCTAAGGCACTATCCAGCAGGTAGAATTCTGAACAGCCTGGTCCTTTCAAGTGAAATAGCGGGGCAGAAATTCGACTTAATAAAAGCCTTCTCTATAGAATTGCAAAGTGTCCCAATAATTCTGAAAGGAACTTCTCAATGTAAACAATGGTATATCAGAGAATTACAATTTCATAACTCCTACCCATTAATTCATCTGTTCTTCTCTGTAGTAGCCTTCAAACATCTATACAATTCAACAAAACCACACATGCACTGCAGAGTAAGTAAACCCCAAAGGCACCTGTGCCTGATAAAACAAAGGCATATCCGATTCCAGGAGAAAATAGACAGCAGATGTGACCCCTGTATTTATCCATTAAAAACAATGTATCCTAAAAATAAATTTCCATGTCAACCGAACAAAGATGTTTATAAATAAGAAGGAATGTGGAGGTGTGGGGAAGACAAGAGGAAGCTTCAGTAAGTTACGTACCCAAAGCCAGGAAACAAGACAGAATGAATGGTAAGAGGGCAAGGGAAACAGAATAAACTAGGAACTGGATGAAGGGAAGAGCTTTATCCTTGGAATCCAAGCAGTTGAGAGAAATGAATAGATATTAGTAGGAACTGATGTGAACAGAAAACTGGAAAGTGAAATGATTTTAAGTTAAGAAATAAGAAAAAAGGGGAAATTTAGACCAGACCAAGTGATGTACAGACCACATTTTGGGCACAGATGGAGATGGTATATAAAAGGATGGAAAACAATAAAAAAAAAAAAAAATTAGACTAATTTCCGAACTAAAGAGCATGAGGCAGGAGAAAGAAAATTGCAAAGAACAAGATGGAAAAATAAGTCACACTAACCAATAATAATATAGGTAGGATATATATTACATTACTAGTTATAAAGTATAATAGCGTATTGTTCTGTGTAGTAAGGTACCAAATTCTGAATATAGTGAAGTTCATGCAATAAAAACGTAAATTAAGTAACTTGACAAGGTGACAAAAGGCTTAATAGTGCAAAGACAGGAAAGAGGCAAAAACTGAAGAGAGGAGAAAGTGAGAGAGAAAAATAGGACGAAAAGGAGGACAACACAGAGAAATCAATCAAATTTACTTTAAAAAAGAATAAAGAGGTGTGGATGCACAGTGAGAGACTAGTCAAAAGGTGTCAGTAGGGTGAGGGTGCAAAGAGCCAAGAGAACCGGAGGGAATCTTGACAGCTTCAGGGTTCAGAAAGTGAGTAGCTTTAAAGTGTCCAGAAGGGTTCCTGAAGATAACAATAGATAAGGACGGAAAGGAACCCACGGAAAGGAGCGGCGGAGCGAAGCAGAGGGCCTCAAGAGGACCAGGGTTAAGAGAAGTGCAAAAATGCTCTTCAGTGGAAGCAGAGGTTAGGAGGATGGCAGGTCCGACAAATGGAAAATGTGCGGGGCGAGAGGCGAGGACGCGATGGGGGTTACCAGTCAGAGACAGAGCACTTGACAAATATTAGGGACGAGGGACCCGAGACCGGGACGAACAGGGCAGCAGAAACTGTGCGATCCGGGGGCGGGTAAGCGAAGACAAAATCCCAACTATCCGCCTGGGAGAACAGGTGAAAAGAAATCCCCCCAACAAGTACCGAAGTGGAAGGAGGGACAGCGGCCTGACGAGGGTGGGAGGGTGGTCAGGGAGAGGAGAGAGAGATGCGCCCCGTCACCCCGGACCCGGGAGTAATCCCACTCGGCGGTAACCCGGGCCGGGGTCCTGGCGGGTCGCACACCTACAGCCTCCACTTGGACGAAGCGGGCCCTTCCCCCCCCCCCATAATGAAAACCCCGAAGAGATGCAGGACTGACACCTCCGCCAGGCGTGACCTTCCCCGACCAGCCGAGCTTCGCCCCCTACTGACAGCCTCCTGCCGGTCCGCCGCGGCCCGAGCCCACAGCAGGGGTTGGGGCCAGGGGACCCCTCCCCGTGCCATTGTGTGTGTTTACGTAGCCAGGAGCCGCGTGACGGAGAAGGGCCGCGGGACGATGCCCACTCACCACCCAGCGGAGCCGTCGGGAGAGGGTGGCCCAGGGCTCTAGAGCCCCCGCCGCCGCCTCTCTCCCCCAAATAAACACCCGTCCGCCAGCGCGGAGACGCCGGGGGCTGCAGGGTGGCGCCAGCACTCACCTCCTCGGGAATGGCAGGATCCGCCGCCGAAGAGGCCGCAGCGCCGGCCTCCGGCTCCATGTCCCCGTTGAACAGAGCCTGGCCCTGCTCCGCGCCGGCGCCGCCGCCGCCGCTCAGCGCCGCCATCTTATAACCGAGAGCCGGGCCCGGGCGGCCGCCGCTGGGCGGGGAGGGGGAGGGAGGAGGAGGGCGGGAAGAGGCGGGGGCGGAGGCACGGGGGGCGCGGGGAGGGGCGGCCGGGGCGGCGCCGCCGGCGGGAGGGCGCCTGCACGGCCTCAGGTACCGGCCCGCGGCCCCGGGCGCAGCGGTGCCTGAGGGGATTGGGGGAAGGACGCGGGGTGGGGGGGCGGGTGAAGGGGGCGGAGACGACGAGAAGTCGCCGCGGCAACGGCGTCACCCGCGTGTCACGGTCGTGACGTCACCGAGAGTGCGTGACGTCACCGAGGAGCGCCTTCGGACCGTCGTCAGGAGGAGGGTTCCTTTCCCTCCAACCACCCAGGAGCTCACGCGTTTCCTCCGTTGCGCGGTTGCCATGGCGCCGGTTTCCTACTTTCCTCCCCTCTCGGCGGTACTCGGCCTGTTGTGTTCTGTGGGATTTACTAGAAGAGCAGGGGTGGTGTTGGAGAAGTTGAAATCCTGGAGGGAGGGAGGCGGGGAAGCCCGTACTACTAGTTATTTCCATTACAATGAAAGACTTGTAAAAGTCTTGTCCTAAAAATAAGACCTCAAAGCCCAAGGTTGAAACATTTAAGCAGAATTTCAGAAATTATATTTAGAAACTGCAAAATTGTCAGTATGGTATTCAAACCCTTTCCTTAAAGGATTGTTAAAGTGAATCCAAGTGGAACTCTAAAAGCTTTTTTATTTTTCATCGTTGAGAAAAGAATGTTTTCTTTTAGTGTATTATTCTTTTTCTGGAGCCATTCGTTTTAACAAATACCGTACGCTTTCCATATGCCCTGGGGCCCCTGCAAAGCACATAACATTCTAGACATCTGAAGCATCATAACTAATCACTTTGGGGTTGAAGAAAATCGTCCCAAATATTTTACATACTTCATGAATGGGATATTCCAAGGCATACTCTGTGCAAAATATATGTGAAAATAGTTGAGAGAGGAAAGATAAATTTTCTTTGACAAGCCCAATTACAGAATGGAATTAAAGAAACCCCCTTCATTGTTAACAATCCATTTAATCTAAAAGAAGGGGGGGGGGAATAATTAGAGAAGAAATTTTTTAGGGAAGGGAGATAAAAAGTGAGAAGTTACTGTTGGTGTGTGATTGCTAAAATAACATAATCATGAAGTCATGAAAGCTGGAGTGAATTCTGCCTTTTTGTGCTTTCCTTGAGGGGATGGGAGGGGGGTCACCAGTGACCTCCTATTTGTATTTAGGATGATTCAAGAGTTAGCTGTTTTACTGACTTCTGAAACCGGATCTCAGCCTATTTCATTGGGTCAACATGAACCTGGGAATTGATGCTTACTCTTAAGGAGTGTGTGTGTGTGTGTGTGTGTGTGTGTGTGAGAGAGAGAGAGAGAGAGAGAGAGAACTAACATTCCTCTACCTTGAAAATACTACCCATCAAATGAGCATGGTATGCTTTGTCAGCTTCATTGTACATTCTCTTCCAAGCAGGAAAGTTTCCTTAAACAACTAAATTTAAATCCAAATGTGCTCTGGCAAATATAGAGTAAATGATGATGATCACAGGAATGTGTCATCAAGCTATGCTAGTGTAGTGTGAAGGACCCTTCTTCTTTACCATAAGGACATACTTAAGAGCAGACTGAAAGAGTACCATTAGACATTCAGGGCACCCTTTCCCTTTGACTTTATCAAAAACAAATGGCAAGATTGTTTTTTGTTTTAATTTGTCTTATTTTTTAAAAAAAGAGCTCTTAAAATATTATATCATTATTATACTTCCTTATAATGTTAAAATTTCTAAGATGTCTCTATTGATTCCATTTTAAATGATAACCTTATGTATCAACCTATAGATCAGTTATCTTTCATGATTTCTTCTCCAGGAGATGAGCACTCACATCCATTTAATAATAATTCTTGTTAGTTTTGCCAGGCACAGTGGTGCATGCCTGTAGTCCCAGCAGGTAGGGAGGCTGAGACAGGAGGATTGCAAGTTCAAAGCCAGCCTCAGCAACATCGAGGTGCTAAGGAACTTAGTGAGACCCTATCTCAGAATAAAATACAAAATAGGGCTGGGGATGTGGCTCAATCCCCAGGACCAGAGTCCAGTCTCCAGGACCCAAATAATAATAATTCTTGTCAGTTTCATTTAATTCAATATTTTCTGACCTTGCCTTCAAATTCTGGATTTATCTTATTTTCTTAGGCCATTTCTACAGTATCCAGATGAGAAACAACAGAGAAGGCATAAACTCTAGAATTCAAAGATCAAGATTTTAATGTTAGCATGTTGGATCTTGACTATATAATCTCAAAATAGGTAGGCTTAAATTCCTGTTTGTTGTTTTGTTTTTAATCTCTAAAATGAGGATGATAATGCCAATCCAGCCTACCTAACTTTATCATTGTGAGCATCAAACATTATAGTTCTATCCTTTGCAAAGTGCAAAATTATCCTCTGAATGAGAGTTTAGACAAGGCATAGCAAAGATGGCTTATCTGTGCTCCATGATGTCTCAACTGAGAAAGATTCAATGCCTGGGGTGGCTTGGTGGCTGGAGACTACTTTGAGACACATTTATTAACATGGCTGGTAGTTGGAAACTGGGACTTAAGCTGGGGCTGTCAGCCATAATACCTAAACATACCCTCTTCATGATAGCTTCTTCCTAGCATGTCTGCCTCAGGGTTGTCAGACTTCTAAAAGGCAGCTAAAAACTTCAAATGCTAGTATTCCAGAAAACAGTGTGAAAGTTGTATTCATTTTCTGACCCAGCTTCCATCACTTTTGTTGCATTTTATTGGATACAAGTAAGTCACTAAGTTGGTTCAAATTCAAGGAGAGGGGATATAGATCCCATTTTTTTAGTCATTGATGGACCTTTATTTTATTTTATTTATTTATATGTGGTGCTGAGAATCAAACCCAGGCCCTCACACATGCTTGGCAAGTGCCTCACTCTACCACAGAGACACAACCCCAGCCTTAGATCCCACTTTTTTTTTGGGGGGGGGTACTGAGGATTGAAATCAGGGACACTTGACCATTGAGTCATGTCCCCAGCCCCATTTTGTGTTTTATTTAGAGTCAGGGTCTCACTGAGTTGCTTAGCACCTCGCTTTTGCTGAGGATAGCTTTGAACTCATGGTCCTCCTGTCTCAGCCTCCCAAGCACTATAATTACAGATGTGTGCCACCACACCTGGCTAGATCCCACCTTTGGATGGAAGAAGTGCCAAAGAATTTTCAGACATGTTTTAAAATCACCACAGGTCTTTTTAGAATAAGAAACTGGCTGCTCTGCAGAACAAACTACTCAACCTCCTCTCCCCACAAGGAGATTCTATACCCAATCAAATTCTCTACTCTTTATTACTTGGAATTACTAAGATATATCTCAGTATGCATATGAACAAGGCTTTACAGTCTTTTTTCAGTTTCTGGACACTCCACTGCATGCAAAAATAAACATAGTCCCTTTTCATTGGACACAGTCTGTCTACTCCTGGATACTTTCCCATAAATCCCAGTGCTGCCATGGGCAATGTTGACATGCTAAAACTTTCTATCCCAAACAGTGTTCCTGGAACCTGTAATAAGCCAAGCCAGATTGTAGTCTGATCAGAAACAGAGAACACTTCCCTTTTGTGGTATTGTGGGCCACATGGGCATCAAGTTAGTGTCATCTTGCATTCTAAGTTCTTACATACGTTTTAGTCAGCATGATGCTTTTAGGTTTTGCTCATAATCCCACTTTCCCCTAAAGTAGTTATATTTACAGAAAACTGGAGAAGAACTCTAGATAAGAAAAACAAGTCAGAAAGTCAGAACTGTTGCTCTAGTTGATGACTTAAATGCTGTTAAGAACATTGCTGCTATGTCTGACTCTCTCTACTTTGGAGATGAGTTCATTTCCAACCAGCATTTCTATCTTGAATTCTACATTCTAATAGACACTAGATAGGCCCACCAGTCGGCCAGACCTGCTCGACCAGGTCTGATCCATGTTGATATGGTCAATTACTGGGAAACAAGCATCCTCCCAAAGGCTTCTAGAGCTACAACCAGGTTCATTGATGTGTAACTGATCACAACTTAATATTTTCTTTGTGAATCAAGGTTACCATTATGATAACATCCCATGTTGTTTAATAGTAGAGAGTTATTCTCCAAAGCTATTTAGGTGTGAATAGAAAACAATCATAGAATTTATTCAGAACAACTTTCTTATTGAGAAACTCTTATAATTGCTTCTGTGGAATTCCAGATTCTGCCTAAATACTTTAACAATGGATATTGCAATAATATAGTACAGAGATGGATATTGTAATAATATAGTACATTCAACTGTCATCTCACATTTTCCAGATTTTCTAACTTTTTTCCCTTGGAAGACTTTTCTTCTACATTCATGAAATTTATTAGGATATTATATTCCTAACTTTTAATAAAGAATCTATATTTCGGAATGTTACTTTTTCTTACAACATATTGCTCATACTACTCTTGAGTATGTTAAGATAGAGTTTTATGAAATATCTTTTATGTACTTACTTTTTATTGTTAGTGTCTTTAAAGTTTGCTTTTTTTTTTTGGAAGGTGCAATAGACTATATACCATATGTTACCTTTTGGCAAAAATAGGGGGGAAACTATACGTAGTTTTAGAGAAGTAAACCCTCCCATCTGCAGCTTTCCCCCCTCTGGTTTTAGTTACCTGTGGTCACCCATGGTCTGAAAACTGTTAAAGGAAAATTACAGAAATAAACAACTTATAAGTTTTAAATTACATGCCATTGGTTAAAGTGATGAAATCCTGCACCATCTGACTCCATCCCACTGGAATGTGAATCATCCCTTTGCCCAGCCTATGCATGCCATATATGCTACCTGCCTGTTAGTCACTTGGTACCTATTGCAGTTATCAGATTAGCTGTCATAGTATTGCAGTGCTAGTGCTATAGTAACCCTTATTTTACTTAATAATGCCCCCAAAGCACAACAGTAGT